CATTTCAATTGGTTAATGGATTTAATCACGAAGAAAATTTATTAATACGCAATTGAATTTTTACATTTTCCGAGAGAAAAGTACTTTCCCACTGCTTGCATAAATTAAAATCATCTTCGGAAAAGAAAAGAAGAGAAAAAAAAGGAAACGACTGTCAAAGTATAGTTTCATGCTTTAAAATGAGACCAAGTGAGCCATTGTATGATCTTTCATTATCGTTTTTATCCTTTCATTGTCATTGGAACAGTTATGCTAGTCACTGTACATACGTCTCTCTTTCTTTTTTTTTTTTTTTTAAACTGATCAATCATTTGCGGCTATAATTGTTTTTAAGATTAACATGTTGTTTTAACGTGCGAACCTCGCTCGACGAAAGTTTTGTAGAACTCGATTCCCGCGAATCGATTTGTACCAGAATTTTTATATTATTCAATGAACGCCTGTTTGTGAACGACATGGGCAGCTCGATCGTTAGAACGACTAAAACAATTAAATTAGAAGTAATGAAATTTGTGCCTCAACGCTATCACCAATCGGACTATTTTTTCAAAAATACATGGGCACGTGCGATTCCTTGGAATTGAAAAATTCTGCTGTCTTTTGTCAATTTCACTTGAAGTGAATACGATCTTGGAAACATTATCTTTCGAAATCAATACTAATTACGAGAAATTAGTATTTACAATAATTAACCACTCTCGATGCCAGAATTTTATTTTCAAGCATCGAAATTTTTTCTTCGTTGATAACTTTTTAATAAACAACATTGCTGCATCATTCAGGACGACGGCTTTGACAAGCATGTTTAAAAAATCACCGAGATTCAGTGAGTGAATATCTTTATGTAAATATTTACCAAATTAGCCAGTTCTGTAAACTTTATCTCCGATAATTATTTCAGCTTCAGATATATTCATACTGATCGATAACTCACATTAACTTCAATCTTCAAATCCATTGCAGATTAAATCGTGGGAAAAATGTTTTTCATATTTTATTGCGACGAATTTATGGAATTTTCGCGACGAAGATTCGAATTTGTCACACAGTGTAAAAACATCTTAGAATAGAATGGAGCTCCGAACTTCGAAAATTATTGCACGATCTTCTTTTCTTTTTTTTTTTTTTTTTTT